TTCGAGGTCTGGGTCGATGATCCGCAGCTGTTTCTGCAGTGCGATTCTAGGGAAGGAGTCTCACTGTTCGATCACACGTCCTGCGTCTCTGTTGCATCTGCTGCCAATGGTGACGGTGCTGTTCGCTCGCAGTGGACCACGTGCGATGCTGCTGACCATCTTGGTGTTCGTAGTCACCTGCCGTCTACTGAGCGCGCGCACTTTAGCCAGTACAAGACCGCTAAGACTCTGTACGACGCTGTTGTTGCGCGCTACTCCTCCCCTGCCACTGCTGCCCTTAGCCGCCTCATGCTACCGTACCTGTTCCCTGACCTAGCTGCTTTTGCCACAGTCGCTGACCTCATTACGCACCTCCGCACTAGTGACACCCGCTGCCGCGCTGCGCTTCCTGCCGAGTTCTGCACCGCGAACCCCCCCCCTATGTACATCACTCTCTACTACTTGTCAACCGGCTCCGTGACTCCCTTCGCTCGGTCAGGGACCACTTCCTCTCCCTTTGCCCCACCACGCTCACCGTTGACCTCCTCGAGGAGCGCCTCCTTGCAGCTGAGAAGAGTATAGTCGATGTAGGAGCCTCTCGTGGTGACCCTCGTGCCCCTTTCTTTGAGGGTGCTCCCCCGTTCCCCTTTTGCCTTCTGTTGCTTCTGCTGCTGCTGTCGACCTCGTTGGCACCGAGTCGGTCGGCGCTGCGTCTGCTCCTAGTGGGAGACGCCGTAGCGGCAGGAGCAAGGGGGGCAAGGGTGTTGGAGGAGACGGCGGGGGCGGCGGTGGTGGTGGTGGAGGCGGCGGCGGCAGCGGCAGTGGGGGTGGCGGAGGCGGCAACGGCGGTGGGGTGGTGGCGGCGGTGGTGCTGGTCGGGGTGGCGCTGTGCAGCGGGGAGGCCTTGGTGGTGGCCAGCGCAAGCAGCAGCGGCATTCTCGTGAGACCCTATCGCCCCAGCAGCTTCGTGAGTGGTACGCTGGGCGTGGGAGGTCTCGGGGTGCTGGTCCTTATGCTTACGTTCTCTGCACTGGCGAGCGCAGTGGGGAGACGTGCGGAGGGCCACACGCCACGCAGCGCTGTTTTGGCCGCCTGACTGACGCCTGGCGTGCACAGTTTCCTGACGCCACGGAGCTCGCTCGCTGGGGTGATCTGCTTAGGTCGGGGGTTGCTATCTTTGATCTTGACTATGATGCTATCCTTGCTGCTATGTATGCTGTGTCTATTAGTGCTGAGGGTGACTGTTACCTGTGTATGCCTCTCCTCAGCAAAATGGGATTGCTGAGTGCCGCATTGGCATGGTCATGGACGTCGCTCGTACGTCCATGATCCATGCGGCTGCTCCTCATTTTCTGTGGCCGTTCGCGGTTCAGTACGCGGCGCATCAGATCAACCTCCAGCTCCGGGTCTCCATGCCGGAGACCACACCTACTCTGCGGTGGACGGGGAAGGTTGGCGATGCGTCTGTGTTCCGTGTCTGGGGATCTTGAGCTTTCGTCCGCGACTTGTCTGCGGACAAGCTGTCCTCCCGTGCTGTTCCCTGCGTCTTCCTTGGCTTCCCGCATGACGCGCCTGGTTGGCAGTTTTACCACCCCACCTCGCGCCATGTTCTGTCCTCTCAGGACGTCACGTTTGACGAGTCGGTTCCTTACTACCGTCTCTTCCCCTACCGCACTGCCCCCCTCCCCCCCCCGCCGCTCTTCCTCGCGCCATGTCCTCCCCCGGTAGACCCCCTCCCTCCTCAGGGTCCTGCTCCCTCAGGTGTGTCCCAGGTAGACGCAGTTGAGCCTATCGAGGTAGCTGTTGACTCTGGTGCTACTAGGGGTGCTGAGCCTGCGGGTGCCGGGTCTGGGGGTGCTGTGCCTAAGCGTGCGGAGTATGGGGGTGCTGAGTCTGGGGGTGCTGAGCCAGGGGTTGCTGAGCCTGGGGTTGCTGAGTCTGGGGGTGCGGAGCCTGAGGGTGCTGAGCCTGCGCGTGTGGAGTCTGGAGGTGCTGGGCGTGGAGCTCCTTCGGGTGCTTCGTCCCGACAGGAGCCACTCTCTCCTCAGCAGCTGCGTGAGTGGTTTGCTCGGCGCTGGAGCCGTGCTGCTGGAGCTGGTGGTGCTACGGGCGCTGGAGGTCCTGCTGCTGCTGGAGATATTGGGGGTTCTGGAGCCACTGGTCCCGGAGGTGCTCGTACTGGAGGTACTGGAGCTGCTGGGCCTGGTGGTGCCGCTGGAGCTGGAGCTACTGGAGGTGCTGGCTCTGGCGGTGCTGTTGGAGGTGCTGGGGCTGGCGCTGCTGGAGCTGCTGGAGGTGCTGCTGGGCCTGGTGGTGCTGCTGGAGCTGCTGGTGCTGCTGGAGCTGCTGGAGGTGCTGCTGGAGCTGCTGGAGGTGCTGCTGGAGCTGGTGGTGCTGCTGGAGTTGGAGCTGCCGCTGGGGGTGCTCGTGCTGTCCCTGCTGGTTCTGGGGGTGCAGAGCGGCCGCGGCCGTACTTCGTTCCGCTCCTTGAGCAGGTTCTTGGTCTCCCGCCTTCTGCTGGTCCTGCTCCTTCCTTAGAGTGTCCACCGCCTGTCCAGTCACAGTCACAGCTACAGCCCGCCTCCCCACTGCCTGCTCCTTCTCCTTACACTGGTCCGACCGGAGGTCTTGCTGAGCGTCGTGAGCCTGCGTCTCGTCCTGCGTCGCGTGTTTGTGCTGCTCGCACTGGTCGTCGTGGTTCGCGTCAGCGTCCTCCTCCTGTCCCTGGCACGCACCAGATGGCTCTGCATCCTTCCACTGCTCCGCAGCGTGTCCCTCTGCCGTCTCCTCCTGAGTCCTCTCTTCCTGCCCTTGCTGACCCGGAGTCTGACTCCCTTCGTGCTGCTAGTCCTACTGTCACGCGTCTCCTTGCCACTGTTGTCACTGACCCTTCCTTTGAGACCACTGCTGCATTTGCTCTTGTGGTTGAGCTTGTCGACTTTGCTGCTCGCTGTCGTCTAGACTACCCTGCTAGTCTTGTTGCTGAGTCTGAGTCTGTCTGTCCTCCGTCCGTCGGGGGTGAGTGTGCCCTTGGCACGGACGTCCTTGAGGACAGGCAGGAGGAGTTCCAGTATTCTGCTGCTGCTTCACCTCATCTCGTGTCCATGCTGCTTGCCCCTGAGGGAGACCCGGATGCACCAGACATCCTGACTCCGCGCTCTTACGCAGAGGCGGACCAGTGGCAGACAACCTTGGACGCAGAGATGGCTTCCTGGAAGTCCACAGGCACCTACGTCGACGAGGTTCCTCCACCTGGGGCGAACATTGTCGATGGCATGTGGATTTTCAGGGTGAAGCGGCCGCCGGGTTCTCCGCCTGTCTTCAAGGCGCATTATGTGGCTCGAGGCTTCAGTCAGCGGCAGGGAGTTGACTACTATCAGACCTTCTCTTCCACCCCGAAGATGACCACTCTTCGGGTACTGCTGCACGTCGCTGCTCAGCGTGACTACGAGCTTCACTCTCCTGACTTTAGCACAGGCTTCCTACAGGGCAGCCTGCACGAGGAGATCTGGCTGCGCCGCCCACCTGGCTTCACTGGGTCGTTTCCTCCTGGTACCCAATGGAGCCTCCGGCGGCCAGTCTACGGTCTCCGCCAGGCGCCCCATGAGTGGCACGACACACTGAGGACTACGCTTGCGGCTCTTGGGTTTGCTCCTTCTACTGCTGACCCGTCGCTGTTTCTACGCACCGACACTTTGCTGCCGCCGTTCTACATCCTCGTGTATGTCGACGACTTGGTTTTTGCCACTGCTGACGTCCGTGCCAAGAGCACACTCACCCCCGACGGACGGAGGACAGACAGATTCAGACTCAGCAACAAGACTAGCGGCGTAGTCGAGTCGACACGCGACAGCAAAGTCAACAAGCTTAGCAACTAGGGCAGACGTAGTAGCGGACTCAAACGAAGGGTCAGTGACAACAGTGGCTAGAAAACTTGTGACAATAGGACTGGCAGCACGAAGTGAGTCAGACTCAGGGTCCAGACCGTCAGGGAGAGAGGATGTAGGAGGCTACAGCAGGGGAACTCGCAGTGGAACAGAGGAAGGACGAAGTACCATAATGTGAGTGCCGGGGACAGGAGGAGGACGCGGACGAGAAACACGATGACCAGTGCGAACAGCGCGAACAGGCGAGGCAGGACGAGACGCAGGCTCACGACGCTTTGTAAGAGAGTCTGTTCGCTCAGCGTAAGGAGAAGGAGCTGGCAGTGGGGAGTCTGGCTGTAATTGCGGCTGCGACTGGTCAGGCGGTGGGCACAGTAGAGGTGGAGTAAGGTCAGTAGAAGCAGGGTTTCTAAGAACCTGGCGAAGCAGTGGAACGAAGTATGGTCGCGGCCGCACAGTGCCTCCAGCACCAGTACCGACAGCTCCAGCTCCCCCGGCGCCAGCACCTCCAGCTCCAGGGTCTCCTGCTCCAGCGCCTGCAGCTCCAGGGTCTCCATCTCTAGTACCTATAGCACCACCAGCTCCAGCAGCTCCGGTACCTCCAGTACGAGCACCTTCGGGACCAGCAGCTCCAACACCTCCAGCACCTCCAGCACCACCAGCTCTGGCAGCTCCAGTACCTCCAGCACCTCCGGTACCAGCTCCAGCAGGACCTCCAGCACCTTGAGCACCAGCAGCACCACCAGCTCCTGCAGCTAAAGTACCTCCAGCACGAGCACCTTTAGGACCAGCAGCTCCAGCACCTCCGGTACCTCCAGCTCCAGCTGGACCGCCAGAACCTTCTGGACCAGCAGCTCCAGCGCCTCCAGCTCCAGTGCCTCCAGCTCCAGCACCCCCCAGCTCTAGCAGCGCCGCTCCGAAGGCGGGTGCGCCTAGCAAACCACTAGCGCAGCTGCAGTGGAGAGAGAGGCTCCCGCCGTGACGAGGCACCCGTAGGACCTCCAGGAGACACCGCACCGCTAGGCTCAGCACCCCCAGACTCAGAATCCCCAGGCTCCGCACCCTCAGGCTCAGCGCCCCCAGGCTCCGCACCCTCAGGCTCAGCACCTCCAGGCTTCGCACGCTCAGGCTCAGCCGATGGGGGGCCCCCGGGGAGGCTTGCCCGCGCGAAGAAACGCCCCGTGCGCACCACCGTTGGGCAGTTGGAAGCCGGACACGGTCGCGGGGGTGGAGAGCGGAAACGGGCAGCCGGGGGAGGGTGGGGGCGGTTGGACGGGAGTGGGGTGTACGGGGGGCAGGGGAGTTGAGGGGGCAAGGGGAGGGGCAGCAACGGGCAGGGGCTGGGCCAGCTGAGGGCAAGGAAAAGGGGCGGGCAGAGGGTGAGCAGAGGGGCGAGCGATGCAAGGGATGCACCAGAGGGGGGGAATCCAGTTGAACGGAGGTGAGAGGTGAGGGGCGTGCGAGGGGGTGGAACAGGGGCAGGGAGGGGCAGAACGGGAGGATGTGGGTGGGGGGTGGGGGAGGGGAGTGTGTGTGTGTGTGTGTGCGAGAGAAAGAGAGAGAGAGAGAGAGAGAGAGAGAGAGAGAGATAGAGAGATAGAGAGAGAGAGAGAGAGAGAGAGAGAGAGAGAGAGAGAGAGAGAGGGAGAGGGGGGGGGGGAGAAGGGTGGGAGGGGGGCTGGTGGTGGGGACGGGCTGATGGTGGTAAGAGGGCAGCAGGGATGGGGAGAAGGGAGCGTAACGAGGGGAAAGCAAAGGGCAGGGGGGGAGGAAGGGAGGGGCAGGGAGGGAAGAGGGTGAACGTACAAAGAGGGGAAACGAGGGGCATGGATGGTAGGAAACAAGGGCAGGGGTGCGGGAAATCAAGGGCAGGGAGGGGAGAAGCAATGGGTGCGGGGAGAACAAGGGAGGGGCAGAGGGGGTACAAGGTGATCTCAGGGAGGGAAGAAACGTGGGGCAGGGAGGGGAGAAACCAAAGACAGGGGCATGGGCAGGCGGGGGCAGGGAGGGAGCAAAGGAGAGGCACGGAGAAAGAAAGGGAGGTGCAGGGAGGGGAGAAACCGGGCGTGGGGGGGCGGAAAATGAGGGGCAGGGCGGGGAGGAGGGAGAGGCAGGGAGGGGAGAAGCTGAGCGCACGGAGGGGGGAAAGGTGGGGCAGGGAGGTGGGAAGCCAAGGGCAAGTGGAGGAGAGTGGGGGGGCAGGGAGAGGGGGGAGGTGGGGAGCGGAGAAAGGCGGCGAGGGGCAGGGAGGGGAGAAACCAAGCATAGGGGGGCGAGAAACGAGGGGCAGGGTGCGGATTGAGGAGGGGCAGGGAGTGGAGTGGGTTAGCGAGGGGAAGGAAGAGGCGTGCAGCAGAGGAGGGGAGGGGGGAGGCGAAGGTAAACGAGGGGAGGGCACGGGCGGGGAGGAGCGAATGGCGAGCGGTGGGTAACGGCGAGGGGGGCAGGGAGGGTCAAAAGAGGCGGCGAGGGAGCGGGCACGCGGAGGTTAGGGGCGGGGGGAGCGGATGGCATGAGGGGGCAGGGGGTGTGACTATGAAGGGGGGACCCGGGCAAGGGGTGTGTACCGGTCGGGGCACGGGATTGTCGTGGTACGATCATACCTCGGCTACTACGCCGGATCCCATCAGAACTCCGAAGCTAAGCGCCGGTGGGCGAGAGCAGTACTGGGCTGGGTGACCTCCCGGGAAGTCCTCGTGTTGTACCCACAGGCTCCGCACGCTCAGACTCAACAACCCCAGGCTCAGCACCCCAGGCTCCGCACGCTCCGACTCAGCACCCTCAGACGCAGCACCCCGAGTAGCACCCCCCCTACCAGCACCAAAGTCAACAGCTACCTCGACAAGCTCAGCCAAAGGGAGTGGGTCTACCTGAGACACACCTGAGGGAGCAGGACCCTGAGGGGGGAAGGGGTCTAACGAAGGAGGACCTGGTGCGAGGAAGAGCGGCGGGGGGGGGGGGAGGGGGGCAGTGAGGTAGGGGAAGAGATGGTAAACTGGAACCGACTCGTCAAACGTGACGTCCTGAGAGGGCAGGACACGGCGCGAGGTGGGGTGGTGAAACTGCCAGCCAGGAGCGTCAGGGGGAAAGCCAAGGAAGACGCAGGAAATGGCGCGGGAGGAGAGCTTGTCCGCGGAGGTATCGCGGACAAAGGCACGACAGCCCCAGACCCGGAACACCGACGCATCGCCAACCTCCCCCGTCCAACGCAGTGTAGGCAAGGTCTTCGGCAAGGAGACACGGGGCCATAGGTTGAGCTGATGCGCAGCGTACTGGACTGCAAACAGCAACAGAAAATGGGGAGCAGCCGCGTGGATCATGGAGGTACGAGCAACCTCCATGACTAAGCCAATGCGGCGCTCAGCAACCCCATTCTGCTGCGGAGAGGCCGGAAGCATGAACGACTGGCGGATGCCCTCCCCACGATAAAACTCCTGCAAGAGGTCAGAGGCAAACTCAGCACATCTGTCAGAGTGCAGACGCAGGACAGGTTGGTCCGCGTGGAACCGCTCGCGGAGCGTGGATCCAAGGGATCAAAACATCAGGGACCTCCCCCTTGCTGCGCAAGGGGAAGACCGTGGTGTAACGTGAGTAGTCGTCAACAACCAGCAGAAAGTATCGCTCGCGGCCCTGTCCACGGACGTGGGCTGGGCCCCACACGTCCATGTGGAGAGTTTGCAGGGGAGCAATCGTCAGGGGAAACGAGGAGGAGTGAGGAGCGGCGCGCTGCCGCCCCTCGACACAGGGAAGGCAAGGAGGGGCAGGCGAGGGTGGGAGGGGAGGCAGAGACCTGGGAAGACCAAAGACAAGGAGGCGGAAGTGCATGCCACGGAGGCGTGGCAGGGAGGGGTGACCAAGGCGGTGGTGCCAAAGGAGAGTCTGGTGCGACAGGAGGCGACACAAACAGGGGGCTGCTAGCTGACCTGACGCGGACATAGACACAGCTACCTGAGGAGGCTCAGTAGTCAGTGTGTACAGACTCGACCCAGGCCAACTGGTGAACGTGGCCACGTGACGGCCAGTCCGGGAGCACGTACAGATTGCCACACGATGTCCTCCAGGAGTAAAGGTATGAACCCATTTATCCTGAAGGACCGCGTTGCTCACCAAGTTCGTAGAGAACGAGGGGAGGTGAAGACCTGACTGTGAGCCAGACGGAACCGCTGGACACGGGAGAACAGTGGAGGAACGTGCAAGAACCGGGCCCCCAAAGGGGTCAGCCAAAGAGACTGCAACCGGTGCTGGGAGTGGTGTGACTGTGGTGCTGTCGCGAAAGAAGCAGCGGGAAGCACATGAGTCAAGCGTGAAGGTGTGCAAGGCCTCAGCAAGCGCAGTACCAGAGAGAGCAGACTCACTAGCACGTAGTGCAGCAGCCTCTATACCGGGGTTGGGCGGCACACACAGGTAACACTCACCCTCAGCACTTACAGTCAAAGCATACATGGCAGCAAGGATAGCGTCATAGTCAAGAGCAAAGATATCCACACCCTGCTTAAGCAACTCTAGCAAGTGGGGGAGCTCACTAACTCTGCGCACTAGGCGTCGTCAAGACGGGAGAAGCAGCGGGACTGTGTGTGACCAACCTTCCCGAATGTCTGACCAGCGTGGTCACCTGTGCGAATGATGTACTGGCAGCGAACACTACCCCGAGATGCCCCACGCTAAGCAAGCCACTCACAAAGCTCTTGAGGCGTACGGGTCTTACGCGGACGCTGCTGCTGCTGCCTCTGACCACCGCCGGAACCTCCCCTCTGATCGGGTCCACCCCGAACGTCACCGCTGCCGCCGCCACAACTCAGACTGCCGCTACCACCACCGCCACCAACGCCTCCACTCCCACTGCCACTACCACCGCCGCCACCAACGCCTCCACTCCCACCACCACTCCCTCCGCCACCCTCGCCACCTCCACCGCCTCCACCGCCTCCACCGCCGCCTCCACCACTGCCATCCCCACCAACCTTGCCTCCCTTGCCCCTGCCGCTGCGGCGCCTCCCACTAGGAGCAGACGCAGCCGCGACCTCCTCAGCATGAAGGAAGTCAACAGCAGCAGCAGAAGCGTAGGAGGGGGCAAGGGGGGAGGGGGAACACCCCTCAAAGAAGGGAGTGCGAGGAGTGCCTTGAGCAGCACCTACACCGACTATGCTAGCCTCAGCTGCAAGGAGGTGCTTCTCGAGCAGGTCGACAGTGAGGTCGGTGGGGTCCATGGTGAGAAAGAGGTCTCTGACTACACTAAGAGAGTCAGGGAGGCAGGTGACGATGAAGTAGAGAGCGATGTACATGGGAGGGGGGTTCTTGTCTAGAATGGTGGGAAGCGCGGCGCGGTAGCGAGTGTCACTAGTGCAAAGGTGGGTGACTAGGTCGTCGACTGTGGCAAAGGCAGACAGTTCGGGAGAAAGGTAGGGCAGTATAAGGCGGCCTAGAGCAGCAGTGGCAGGGGAGGAGTAACGGGCGACTACATCGTTGTACAGGGCTTTAGCAGTCTTGTGCTGGCCAAAGTGAGTGCGTTCGGCTGACGGCAGGTGGTTGCGAATGGCTAGGCGAGCACCAGCGTCACGGGTAAGCCATTGTGAGTGAGTCACACTGTCAGCTGTGTCGAGAGGGGCGAGAGAGGCTCTAGACATGTGGTCAAACAACGAAACGCTGTCTCTAGATTTGCTCAGTAGGAACAGCTGTAAGTCATCGAGCCACGTATCGAACTGGATCGGACGGCCCTCTAGATCGAGTGTGAGGACGCTGAGAGTAGCCATAGCGGGCAGAGCAGGATGGCGCGCAAGCAGCAGGGCAGCACGAAAGCAAGGACGGCGCGACTGGCAGGGCGGCGCGCAAGCGCTAGGGAAGCGCACAGGGCAGGGCAGGGCGGTGCACGGCTAGGGCAGGGCAGGGCGGCGGCCAGCAGGGCGGTGCGCGGGCAGAGCAGGGCAAGGCGGCGCCCAGCAGGGCGGCACGCGGGCAGGGCAGGGCAAGGCGGCGGCCAGCAGGGCGGCACGCGGGCAGGGCAGGGCGGCTGCCAGCAGGGCGGCGCGCGGGCAGGGCAAGGCAACGCGGCGGTTAGCAGGGCGGCGCGCGGGCAGGGCAGGGCGGCGCGGCGGTCACCAGGGCGGCGCGCGGGCAGGGCAGGGCATGCGTGGGTGGCGTGACGCGGGCAAGGCGTGCGCGGACGGCGCGACGCAGGCAGGGCGTGCGCTGGCGGCGCGACACTGGGCAGGTCGGGGCGTGCACGGGCAGCGCGACGCAGGGCAGGGCGTGCGCGGGGCGGCGCGAAGCAGGGCAGGGCCAGGCACGCGCGAGCAGCGTGACACAGGGCAGAGCGCTTGCGAGGCGGCGCGACGCAGGGCAGGGCGCGCGCGGGCGAAGCGACGCAGGGCAGGGCGCGCGTGGGTGGCGCGACATGGGGCAGGGCAGGGCGGCACCGCGCTAGCAGGGCAGCGCGACGGGTAGGGCAGAGCAGCGTGCGGCCAGCAGGGCGGCGCGACGGGTGGGGTAGAGCGACACGGGCAGCGAACTATACGGTGTGCCCTAAAAAAACGGTCCTGGGACAGGAATGTTGGGTACAAGTACTAACCCTAATTGGGTTGTACCCCATATGGGCTACCCCACTACAGCCTACACAACACAAACATTATAACAATTTGACATCTCAAACATCATGTTGGGTCAAACATGGCAACTCAAAGGGTCGCTACGATCAATCTCATCACTCCCTATTGTACGCCTCCTCCCGGCTACATCCCTGACACTACAACGCTCCCCGCTCCTAGTTACCAACGACAACTCGACTGCCGCTTCTTCGCCTACATTGTGAGATATCATTCCCAGGGCTGTTTTCATTCGGGTAATTACACTGATTTCAGGGTGATTTCAGGCTTTCCACTTTGTGAAGATTGAAATTAAAGAATTAATGAGTTCTCAACCTTGATCCAATCAGGGTAAAAGATTTCGTATCCCTGATTTTGAGTATAGTATAACAAATTAGCCTGTTAGTGGACCCTGACCTAAGAGAGTATCAACTAAGTGATCCCTGAATTTGACCTAATCAAAAGAAAGTTTCTCGGAAGTTTTTTTCAAGGAAGATTGTTCGCATTACAGCCATCGCGTGAGCGACCCCGAATAAGACATTATCGAAGAAGTTTCTAGGAACTTTCTGTCAGAATGAGAGAAGTGTGTTTGCACTAGGAAAAAGGTTGGGTACAAGTAGGAAACCCTAAACCTATTGTACACCATAGTAACTACCCCACTACAGCCTAAACAAACTGTAGCAGATATAACATTTTACACACCCCCATAGGCAAAGTGGGGAGAGCAAGGGGTCACAAGACCAGTCAAGAAAGGCAAAGCAAGCTCAGGGTGGATCACAACGTCACCACACTCACTGAGCACAAGCAAAGGGCCACAAGGCCAGTTCACATGCAAAGGCATATATGTAACACAA